TGTCCCGTTTAGGCGAGTTCTAACACGTTGGTGAGCCGGTGCGTCAGAATCACGTCAACATCAGAAAATATGCGAACCACGTGCTCGGTCAACTGGTTTCTTCTGGCTGATTGGTTGGGACATCGTCCATTTTTTCCTCAGCTTTTTGCGATTCTTGTTGCTCATCAATGATTTGCATTTCGGTGTAATAGCTTAACTGTTCCAGTGCTGGTTGCACCAACAGAGCCTGGATAATAAAATATACAATATGAATAAATAAAGGTAATGAGCAGTGGCATAAACCGTGACTCTGTTTTAGTGAATGCACATTTTATGCACACTTAGTAAATTTCACGGCCTCAAAAGGAATAGTTCATCAAATTTGACGACGCTGGAGAGCACTGAGAGTTGGCTCGTCCCAGACATATGGGTTTCGATGTATACACGTTAACAAGCCTATATCGAAATACCACAGTTTCAATTTGAAATCTGTTGTGGAGCATTGTTTTAACTCTAATCACAACAACCCGATTAAGGAGATCTCGGGTAGGGGTTTGTGGAATAACATACGATGCATCTAGACGTGATGGAAATAATTGTGATGACCGAGAAAAAGCACGGGATAGCCGTTATGTTCTATTTGGGAATCGCCAGCAGTGAATATTCCGTATTGAATGAGATAGTCCAAAGTGGATGCCTTAAACTGATTGAGCCATTGGCACAAAGTGATAATCGTTGACCGTGTGTCTCAGGGGTGAGAAAATGAGGTCCCAACTTCGAACGTTCACTTTTCGAGTCATGACAAGGTTAGAAAACGGACGCACAACTGACGAGTCCCAAAAGGGACCAAACAACTTTCCAGTGCTCTTTGTCGATCGTCAAAAATATTTCCTTCCCGTTTAAATGCATTCAACTAGTGGGGAGTTAATGACCTCCTAAGGAATGAAACTTACAGCTAGATGTACAATTTAAGGAACCCCACTTGTCGATATTGCGCTATTATACGACCGGGAGGATTTCAGTGCGGTACGAACACTACTTTGGTGCTAAATATTCCGAGAGTGAAGATAAGGTTTACTGGTGGCCGTGAATTACAAATCGTACAAGTGAAAATGGATTAAGAAGAAACAGAAAATACTTCGTTGCTAGAGGATAGTACATTTGTTTTCTTGCTCGTAATTCACCGATAACTTCGTAGACGATTTGAAGTGTTGTCTGTAAATCAACCCCATTTATACCAATACCAACAATACTTTCGAAAACAATGCACTAATAATAGTTCGAGCAAATCACTCGGTGGGATGAATTCCGAGCAGGCAAATCAAATCGTCAGGGGTTTTCGCTCTAACAACTGCGGGAGCTAGATGAAGGTCGGCAAAAAGCGTGATCACTATACGCATAAATGAGCCAACACATTCATGTCGCACGGGAGTTGAGGAATGCCGTTTGATAGCTGTTTCTGCTGTTGGAAAGGCAAGATAGCTGGGGAGTGCGATCAGTTGACTCTTTCGAAATCATTCCGTTCACCACAATGACTAGATAGAGAGAATAAATTAGTCGGAATGAGGCAATTAATCAATGCGCATCACCCGTGCATTACGATTTGGTTAACAAGATGATCATTTACATATTAACGAATGCTTTTTCCATTCATCGATTGTTCTATTTTGCAAGTGAGAATTCACAACTTTTGTAGGAATTCCTTTTTTCGGTGGCTCAAACCAGTCGGATCACAGAAAACCACAAGTTACTACGTTCTGAATGTCTGACGTTTTGCTCTGCGATGTTCATAGCTTTATAACCTTTATGCTCTGAGCATCTGCTCTCAATACGAACGGACAACTATAACGAAATGGTTGCTTGTTAAGATTTACTTATTTTGATTACTTCTATACTTAACGAAAACGTGATTGAATTTAGCGAGTTTTCGCTCACACATTCAGCAGGATAGTATAAGGAGATTGAAAATATCCAGCTGTTATATGTGAGACCACAATTATTCAATGCAAACGCTTAACAGCAACCAGTGCGAAGAGAACCCCCTTTGACTCGCAAAATTCAGAGGGAATGAATGCTACTGTGTATGGCTTTTGCTTGTTACTGATTCTTCTATTTCGTTTGCTGGCCCTTAATGATAAAACAACATAACAGGTGTACGAGAAACCGAAACTCCGGATCTGAGAAAAAGAATGCTAGGGTTTTCGTTGACGTCAAAACGCTTGGTCAGATAAAACCACTAAGGTTGACCTAATGCGATATTCATTGTCTTCTGCTTGTTTTGTTAATCCTTTATCAGGAATCGCTGAAACAGTGCACTACTACGAACAACATAAAGAATGTCCTGTTCTCACAGTGGGCAATTATAAACCACCTCACGAAAACGGATCTCTTCTGGTGACATTGAAATCACCTTCGCAGCGGGGCGGTGGGGGGCTCGGTAGGTCACGAATGCTGTTGTCTCGATTGTAGATGCTATCTGTTCAGAAAACCGACATGTAGGTTCAACTGTCGTATGCGTCCGTTCACCCCGTTCGCTGGTGTGCTTCTCTCATTCAAAGCATCATGAATTTTTCGAACCAACATCCTGACTTATTTATTCATTAGATTTATGTGCATTTTCATAGATAAAGTGATCCGTTGTGTATTACGCGAAACCATACGCATGATTCCCTTTCCTTAGCCATTCCGATTTTTTCGGCACGTTTATGGTAAACGGCATACTTTGAAAATGTAGCCAAAACGAAATCCCCGGGATTCCGATCCTAAACGACTTGAGCGTAAAGCGGCGAGGGTCGTGCAGCGGTCAGTATGTGTGTAACATGAGTAACAATGACGGCAACGGACAATGCGTGCCTGATGAATTGGTGATTTTCTCACTAGGTCTCCCCCGGTCCTGACTTATACTTTCAACATAAACACAACTGTTCCTCCCCTGCTAGCGTGTGATCCGTTGATGCAGTTTCGATAAGCATGTCAGTTAACCATTCCAGTCTGAATTTAAACGCTTCATAGAATTACATTCGGATTGCAAGGATTTTTCGGTCATTAAAAAACCCAACTTATGGGATACCTGATGAACAAATGTCCAGCATTAGGATTGTTCACAAAGGATCATGTGAGCAAGCAATGTTTGTCGGAACCATGCTTCTACAAACGTCTGTTTGTCATTCCGCGTGACAAACGACCGCAGATGACCGCTTTCGTGTCTGGATCAACAATGAAGGTGAGGTTGACCACACGGTAAACCGCCTCCAGACCGCGACTGATATTCTCCTTATACTTGCCGTTGGACAGCAAGCAACGTATGAAGCTCGTGAATTAGGACAAACAAATCACTAACTAAAACGACCCATATCATCGAACTCCCGTATTGCTTACAGGAAAAGCAGTATATGGTAATTAAAATAAAAGAGGTATTGCATATCCAAATTCCCCTTTTGGTCAATTTCGCATTCCCTAGTCAGTGAAAACATTTTGCAGACAACCAGCGGCTAAATTATTGAATGTACCTGTTCTGTGTCGGAGATACTATCTTTCTTCACTTAGCATAATTGATTTACGTTTTGTTGAAAAAACGTCCAGTTGGGTTTGCTATATGAAAATAAAAGGAGCGTTGCTGGACTAAATACAACAAAAAAGACAACGGGAACACCAACGACATTATTAGTAATACTAGCAATAGAATTAAAAATTATGCTGAAAAATTACCAAGGGTAACAATAAACCTCTAAAAAGCAAAACACCTCATGTGTTCTCGGATGCGCATGAAGTTACCAAGACCGAATTAAACATTGTTGGGAAATTCTTACATTTATCGAACGCAGGGCTGACTCCGATGGCCGAACTATTTTGCATTCAAACCGTTTAATCCTTTAAAGAAGGGTTAACGTTGCAGATGATGTTGAGCATGCAGCCAGGTGCAGCCAACCGATGAGGCGAAACCGGCGTAGTCTACTTGAGTTAACAACGTTATCGAAACAGGCGAAATGGATAAACAAATAAATAAACGCGCCCAGGGCTCTTGAATAAGTGTCTAGGGTCGACGTTACCCCAGAACTCAACTCATTTCTCTCTTATGATACTGGTTTCTGATGCAGTACAACATAATACTGAAGTTACAAACGTGTGCTTAAAATTTTCGATTGTGGATTTTGCCATGTCTAGAACAAACAAAGCATAAACTAATAAGCTGTGAAAGCCCTCTCTGAATGGTTGTTTTTAAACTGGTTGGATATTATTAGCACTTTGACTGTGCTGACCCAATCGAGCATCGGACAGGGACCGCTAAGCTAGAAAACAAACATACTACCAGGTTATAAAAATGTAATCCCCTAATACACGCTTCGTTTGCTCTTTACATGACAAAACTAACCATAGAGCAGAAACAAGACGGCCAACAGCAACGTGTAATTTTCATATCTTTGTAGTTTTAGCAATTTGAAACTATTCAAATTATGTCGCAGCAAAATTAAAACATTCGAGTTTAGTTCGTATGGGTGTTTAAGAAAATGTTCTCGCTATTTATCAACTGAATGCATTCGTGAATTCAAGGTTATGGATGCAATGTACAACTTGATTTTAACTACAATCATTAGAAACTGCATCTACAAAGCAGTTGGGAGTTTATTGTTGCCAGGAATTCTTGATTTTTGATAAAACAATGCGCATCTGTAAACGCTTTGCCACGTAAATTTCAGTGACTATTCGTTATTGCAGAGATGTTTTTTCTATGCATGCCAATTCACCTGATGAACGATGGCGAGCACCATTTTTAAATTTGTGATTGATATTCAATCATATGATACCCCATTTCAACTCCTAGAAGATGCTGATACGATATACTGGCTGACTTAGAGACACTTGAACAATTTTGACTGATGGTGTCATTTGTTGAAAATGGAACCATCAGTCGTGAGACTGGGAGTTTGAGAAAACAGAATATCTCCACAATACAGGGGTGGATCTTAACAGGATAGTTATTTCAGTCGAATCTCTCTGTCTTAATCTTTGTTCCAAGGCATTTCAGGTGCAATGGTGTTGATTGACGTTAAGATGGGCAACATTTGTTAGTAGCCATGCCATCCAAAGGTACCAAAATAATTGAAAAGCTACATTTGTTAACAGGACAACTTCTCTTGAAATGTCATGAAAAAGGAATTCATCTATGCAGAGAATTCCAAAACACTCTATAATAACATGGACAGTCTTATTGACACCCCACCTATCTGGTTCCCTATACTTGATGGACCAGTCCCACGCGATTCACAAATTTTACTGATCACAAATCAACTTCTACGGTAGACGTGGCGTCTATGCTGACGCTTTCTCGACAAAACACGGTTAAGAGATGAATTGAAGTTGGAAAAGATATGTGTATGGAATAGACGATTTAGTGTTCTCTGCATACTACTTCGATGATGAGGCTAAAGTTTGGCTGTTTATTCGAGCATCCCGTGGCGTCAGTCTACTCGACTTTCATATATTATCTGGAGCCCAAGATTGAAATAGGACGTTTGATATTCACAACTGTTTTCAGACAAGATACCATGAATATTTTTACGTTAATCCGGGTTGTTGGAGAGATACATAACTGTAAGAGATTTTTCGAAGAATTCAAGTGGAACAAACGGATTCATCTCACGATTCAGTCTAGGAAGGTCTGAACGAATCCGAGGGCAGTTGCATTGGAGCGGACGAAACACAACGAAACCAATGGGCAAAAGGAATGAGGTTTGTCTACCTGCACGAAACGACCTAGATAGGAAGATTCTAAAGAGCAGTAAATCAAAGTAAAACACATTAACCTAATGCTGAGACGCTTTAATCAGTCGTTTTGTACAAATTACATAACCAATGACCCATCTGGGAATTGACCTAGTAACCACAAGTAAAATCCACAACCAAAAGGCTGTGTCAAAGTGAACAATTTAGCAAAATCTCCATCGAGACCTCAAGGTTTGTTCCTCCACGAGTTACAAACAAATACGGCAGGATACGATATTTCAAATCTACAAAGATAATGTGAGTAGGAGTGACAGTTTTTTTTGCAGACACGCACATAGAGAAAGACCAGGGTTCCGTACTTTACTTGAAACAGATTTCGGGAATCGGATTATGCGGAGATCACTGTGAGCATAAATTACAGAATCTTGATTCTATGTCCTAGATGTAGAGGAATAGAATATACTAGTTGCTTCCGTGTTCTTGGATGAGGCAAGGGGCTGGTAATGTTTTGGTTTCGTCGAGTGGTTGCGTCCTTGCGCGTGGTGGTGCACGACACATTTGTGGGGCGCTGAGGGCTTACGTAAGAGAATGACTTAAATTTGCGTGACTCAGTCTACCGTCATCCAACTCTGTACAGTATTTCCTGTTTGATATGTCCATGTGAGCATGCATGCATGCATGCCTGTATGTAGGTGTGTATGTATGCAAGTGTATATGTTTCTATGCTCACTTCAACACAAATCCCCATTCAACTAACTAAACACAGTTTGCCATCCTTGTCAAAGTACATGTGATAAACCGGAGCAATATGTACTGAAATAACAGATAGGTTTATCATATAATATAAATGTTTAATTTTAGGGAAATATACTTACTAGTATATTACTGACTTGATCAAAGGATGAACTAATTCTTTATGGATATCATATTACCACACACCAGTCTCTTAAGATAAGGTCAAAACGGTATCAAAAGCCACGCAAATTACTTCACATAAGCAAGCAACCTCATGCATTACTTACTTTGACCGGGGGCAGCAGTTTGGCCAGGGATTCAAAAAGCGGCAAAATCACGAACCGAATGAAACCACATTGGCTGGCCGATTTGGTTACTTTTTCTCTATCCATAAACGGCGCCACCGGTAGACCAACCAGTTTTTCATAATCACTCTACACAAATAGGGAAATCGGTGCATCGACTGGTTGAGCTAATTTGAGTAAAACTACATTCTTTCAGAATGAATATGATGGAATAAATTCAACTGGTATACCTTGCTCCCTTTTTGAGGAAAAAATATAAACGAAAGCCATTGACTAATGTAGCATTTTGGTGAACGGCGCTTGTCTGAAACTGGCTGCTAGAGTGGAAAAGAAAAACAGCTGAAATGAATTCGGCCGGATTGACATCAGAAAGGAAATATTGTATGATATTAAACTGATGTTCATAGTTTGGCTTGCATATTGATGACACCTGTATGATGTTTTTCTCTACTGCTCGGGAGCAATAGATGATTTATCTCATGGTGAATTTCGTTGTGTAACATATAACTCATGAACTAGAAGTCTACTAGAGGATGTGTAGTATTTTGGCAATGATCAAACATATTATGCAGTGTTTGTCACCCCGTGACGGAATGGGACGCGAGTCAGTCACAGATGCACCATCCCTATGTGGGTGGTATCGTCTGAGCCGAACAAAGAAAGCAAATTCAGCCGAGGTCACACTGTTTGAAATGAAAGAAAGTGTTATGTGATTTTGGTATGATGATTGAAAGAAACATCACTAGCTTTGATCGCCCCAGACGTACACATTTATGTGAACATATATGTATATCACTGAAAGACACGGGGTTGTGTAGTGTACGTTCATTCAACAAGCACAATCATTAGCATATTTCACTGACATATTCCACAGTTATTTTCACACGTATATCAACAGTATTTTTGATGATACTTTGTTCACCAAGTCGCTCGCATCAAACCGGTGAAACGTTATCGATTCCATAATTAAACACCTGTGGCTCTCACAGATTGTGAGCACGCAATCTAACATATATGAATATGATAGATATGTCTACATTCGATACTACTTAAACACGTTGTGATACACCAGATTCAAATGGTAATTAGCCGATATACTATGAAGTATTGGGGGAGGGAATCATCAAAATTACATAATGATCAATCGGTAATAGGTGGGTATCCAATAGGGATTTACAGTCGAATAAAAGACACTATAGGTAAGGAGATAAACGAAATCGTCAATCAGCAAAATGATACAAGATGGTTTTACTTGATAAATGTAACCTGGATGTGTATTTGTGGTTGTATTCTCGATAAAAGATGCAACCCAGTTGGTGACGTCAAAATGACATTCACCAATTACCGGAGTGACGCAATTTCATGGTACACACTCGGAGATGGCAGTGCACAACCGAAGGTGGGTGCCGATTTCTAGTTTCTTCTTTGAATGTCGTCTAATATTTACAGTTAGAATACGGCAATTTCTATTAAAGCTATCGCTAGCCGAGGGAAATAGCCACTAATTGAAACTCCTTTCGGACGATACTGCCAAACTACACTCTTTAAACTTCCGTTTTGCACGAGAGCAACAAAGCGCAGGGAATTAGAAAGTAACCAAGTAGTTTTCCCCATTGGGGATGACAGGTAGTTATTGTTATAGTAGTCATGATGCACTTATTCAATATGTGTAAACCGTCAATCGTAGTGAGTTGTAATAAACAAATGTTTACCCGAAGTAACTTGTGGATCCCGTTCGATTCAGTAAACGAAATACGTGGGCTGTTGCCTTGTTTGGTCATTGGTCCAAACGGATATCTCATCTTCTCTTTCTTTGGTATATGGTAACAACCAGGCTGTATAAAGTAAGTCACTGGTGAAAATTTTGGTTTTTACTGGTGATAGAAACGGCCGATAAAAAAACTTCCTGAAAAATCAAATTAGCAAACACGGCGAATTTTGCGGACCCTAAGATGTTTACAGCTTGTGTCAATATAAGTAGAATTGCTATATATTATAAAATCCGTTACCACCGGATCACCTCCGTCCGAAGAAAGGGAAATATATGCATAGAGCGTGACTAAAGTATAATCCACGAGATCGTCCCGATCGGTCCTGGATAGTATCACAACTCATCAACCAGAAACACTATCACCACCTGGAAAATCACACAAATTTACTGAATAACCGGAATGGCAAAACTTATTCTCTCCAAATCCAAGTTCAAATGAATAATTATCTCGCAATTTTTCAGCGCATTTTTGAACAAAAATGATCAATTTCCAGGAGTGAATAAATAAGCAATGAACGAAAACAGTGCAAAGTGATGGAATAACCACGGAGAGACTTTTATTTATTGGGTTTTCTAAGTACGGTTTGAAGTTTTATCCAATGATCGCGAGAAACCAGGTCATCGAAGAACTACTGGTTCGACCGCGCGAAAGTCTTACCTAATCATGATGTCATAAGTAGTCTGGAAGTACTTTCGACGGGACTTGAGAGTATTCTATCCTAGGAAAGAACAGTCACTTAGAATGGGCCCTGTTGAAAATCCAAATATAGGAGACCATTGAGAACTTCCAGACTGCTTTTATTCGCTTGGGTTATTTAAGATGATTTTGGTAATTATAAAACTGACAGTAAAAGCAAACTCTACCATTGGTAAATGGACCAAGCGATAACGACAGGAAACTCTAGGGGATAACATGAATGATATAATGGTGAGAATTTTCAACCGATCATTTGTAATTATTTTTGAATACTATGCTTACAAAGGGAGTTGTTCTATTTGTGTCAAAAAATGAAATTTTTCACATCGATGTGTTGTTGATGAATTTCTTGCCGCCGACTCAACCGATCACTAGACATTTGGGAGCAGAAGAGACAGCTGACAGGTGAGCATCAATTGCAGTGTCTCGAATATGCACAAACGAGGAGGGCGGGGCGGCGGTAACAATGCTAGTATACCAAGCGTTTACTTGAAGCAACTCTTACTGTGAAGGGAAGCAAAGCGTTCAGTGAGCTCAGGGGTATAATTAGTGCATTGCAGTCCGGGTGTTTTTCAAAAAAATCAGAATGGAATGTTTCCTCTCTTAACCCCTCATCCCCAAATGTCTAATTGTAACCGATTTATTTGGACGCTAACTCTACCGCATATCGTGATTCCCTTGCAGTTTGTGCAACAACAACCACGAACACAACATTGCAAAGACACAATGTCGCCAAAAGGGATAGTTTTCAATCTCATCTGATATTCCGAATTCTTTTGCTTGCACTTGCAACGTGCAGCCGGTAGAATAAAATGCCGTTCGTCTCTTTGTGAATATTCGGCCAAATGAGGGTTTTGTTATCATTACTAATAGATTTTCTGAAGACATTTATTCCTACATATTTTATCTGAATGGATATCCCTCGTGTTACCATTTTGTGTGCACTTGTAGTGTGTTATGCATGGGACATAGGACCAGACGATTATCATAACATATTGTTGAGCGCTGTCTTGCGGCCCTCTACAAAGGAATGGATAGATGTATTTAATAATCCAAGCTTGATACTCTAAACGGATAGATGTATTCACAGCTCGGTTCTCGGTCATCCCGTCGATACCGGGCATTTTGTGAACAAATTAGATGCATTCAAAATTATTCAAACTATACCCCGGATATATTCCAAGACGACAAGAAGGCAGCTTTTACCCACGACCAGGGTGATAGCAATTCGCATTCTCAATCCGGGTTAACGTACACAAAAAAAGCTGGTTCACGCATTGTAAGGTCCTGGCTTGGACAGTGGATTAATTGCGCTTAAAACAAAGCACCACGCCACTTTCCCGACCCCCTTTCCTCATCAATATATTTTCAAATTCAATTGAATCCAACCAATTGCACCCCATTGAAAACCCCACCAGATTATTGGTGTTTCGGCCGTCAAATGTCACCCATTGAACCGGGGCTGTCTAAACCCCATCAAGTTCGAATGAACTCACTTCCCCGTAAACAAGCAAAAGGACTTTCCCAGTGAGTTACCGAGCGAGGTTGAACGTTTCGGGGTGGGGGTGGGTGCGGTGGGCCATTCTCCACCAGCCCCCCCCCCCCACACACACACACCTGTTTTAGCCGGGAACGTTATGTTCGCGATCGTTGATCGAGTGTGCGTCACAGATACGAATGAACGAACCCGGAGTAAATTGACCTCTGTCGGTCGGGTAAGGAAGCGAATCACGAAACCACAAGCGATGGTAACTCTGTACCGGGTGTTCCACGAGGTATTAAGTAGAGGTCGGCAAAATATTCTACCCAAGTTGTCTTAATACTGAATGTTCAATAAGAGAAAAGATTCAGTGGCACCTAGAATGCCACTTTGCAGTATATTTACCGTATGTGTGTTACCACGAAAAATTGTGTAAACGAGCTACCTATCGTACAGTTGGAGAGCATTGACATTTTCTCTACTCTGAACTGAGCCGGGCGGTGGTGTAGACATTTCACACTACTCAATTTCTCTGTATTCACAAGCGTCTTCTGGATTATGTATTTTCGGTAATCGTGCGAACAATTCAACCGTCTTAATCCACTTAAAAACCCGGCAGGTATCTGTGAAAATGCACTATTTCCTAAAAACTGGTCTGGTTCAGAGCGGCAACTCACTGGAAAAGTACTTTTGTTTGTTTACGGGGAAGTGAGTTCATTCAAACTTGATGGGGTTTAGACAGCCCCGGTTCAATGGGTGACATCTGACGGCCGAAACACGGATAATCTGGTGGGGTTTTCAATGGAGTGCAATTGGTTGGATTCATTTGAAGTTACGGTGAATTCACTTTAAGTTACAACGGATTCATTCATGGAGCACGCGTTACAGAGTTACCATCGCTTGTGGTTTCATGGATAACTGTAACTCATTCATATAACCATCAGTCTCATCCACTAAACTATAAAGATCGCACAAATATAACCAGTTTGTGAAAAGATGCGACTGTTTGAGAATGATATAATAAAGAAAAGAACCTATACGATGAAACTGAGTAGCGAAGGGAGAAGCCGCGGGTAACAGATTGTTGCCAATGGCATTGTGGATTGAATGTGTTAATCAGCCAGGGAATGACAGAGAAAAATATGATTTCTGTTAGTTAGTGAATAGTTTCGAATTCGATC